GGGGTCCCTTTAGAAGACTGATGGAAATTATGGGGGCTTAAGGCTCCCTCCAGTCCCTCACCTTGGCATAATCATTAATAAGAAACATGCTCTACTTGGATGCATTTGATAAATGAACTCTTACCCAGGTTGCCTGGAAACTGCACAAAACAGAGAAAGGACCTTTTATGTCCTCATCCAATACTCTAGAATTGAAACTTTGGTTAACCAAGACCATGAAGTAAACAAACTTCTTATGCAGAAAACTCTAAACTCATTTAATGTCTGTATGAAGCCTCTGAACAAAGAGGAAAGAGCTTCAGAAGTCATAGAAAGAGTAATAAGGTTTGGCATTGCAATCTTTCCCAGAGTTTAAAACCTCAAACACTCAAAGAGTGTCTAACTTATTTACAGGTAACAATAGCTGCAAGTGTACATATACTACTCTAAGAATTTTAAAAGTAAGTAAAAAGTGTCCAAATTTGTGATGTAAAATGTTTAATTCTGCCTCTAGGTGGTGAGAATCCCACTGGCAAAATCCAACTTTCTTCTACTTTCATCTGAAGAGGCGGTGGAAAAACATACATCTTTTGCTTCAGAGACGGGAAGTTCATTTTGTACTTTCCCAGTGATTCATTTAAAATCACGGCTAAAGACATTTTCCCCACTACTAGGCATAAGCAAGTAGTTAGCCAAAACTCAATGATAATGCTTTTTATTTATTTATTTATTTTTTGAGACAGAGTTCCGCTGTTGTTGCCCAGGGTCAAGTGCAATGGTGCAATATTGGCTCACCACAACCTCTGCCTCCTGGGATCAAGGAATTCTCCTGCCTCAGCCTCCCGAGTAGCTAGGATTACATGCATGCGCCACCACGCCTGGCTAATTTTATATTTTGAGTAGAGACAGCATTTCTCCATGTTGGTCAGGGTACTCTTGAACTCCTGACCTCAGGTGATCCACCCGCCTTGGTCTCCCAAAGTGCTGGGATTACAGGTGTGAGCCACTGCGCCTGGCCCTGCAATAATGCTTTTTAAAAGGCTTGACCAAGCTTGATTAGACTGGAGGACTTTTAAGATTGGATATCTTAAAAGTTTTTTATTTGGATATATTATACCAGTTAATTTGTGTGAAGTCAGTATCAACATTCACAAAAAATGAAAAATGGCAAATAACTGAGCCAACTATACTAAGTGGAGATATGTTACAATATATCAAAACCACAGCAAACTACAATAAAAAATACATTACATCTTAAAGCTAAGGAGTTTAAATCTACTTTAGGATACAATCACATGAAGAAAAATAGCAAGATTTACAAATAAAGAATCACTGTAATTCAAGGAATGTGAGTAGATGTCACTGGTAGGCATTTTCTGTTTATAAAGGACAAATGGGAATACTGTATAAAAAGAATAAAATACATCTGCAAGCCAGCTTTCCAAAATGACTACAACAACAAATGATATCATAATTTTATTTATATTGGAATATAAAAAGAAAAGGATAAATTATTTATTATGAAACAATATTATGTTTCCTAGGGAGATTTATGACACAGTGGAAGTAAATTAGAGTATTCTAAATCCATACAGTTTGCAGCTTACTTTTTTAAGCCAACATAATTTAATGTCAGTAAGATTTCAATATATATGCTAAAAGTACAGTAAATAGGCCTGGCACAGTGGCCCATGCCTGTAAATCCCAGCACTTTGGGAGGCTGAGGCAGACGGATCATGAGGTCAGGAGATCAAGACCATCCTGGCCAACATGATGAAACCCCATCTCTACTAAAAATACAAAGATTAGCTGAGCATGGCAGTGTGTGCCTGTAGTCCCAGATACTCGGGAGACTGAGGCAGGAGAATTGTTCAAACCCGGGAGGCAGAGGCTATAGTGAGCTGAGACTGCGCCACTGCACTCCAGCCTGGGTGACAGAGTGAGACTCTCTCTCAAAAAAAAAAGGTGCAGTAAATAGCAACTGTAGCTGTGATTATTACTCATAGAAAACAGTGTAATGTACATAAAATATACAGCCACACCCACAGCTATAATAGTAACACCATCCCATTTTTTTCAGTAAGAAGAAAAACTTATTACATATTTTATTTATGATATATATTTAAAGTTATATTAAAGCATATATTTCACAGAATAATTTTTTTAAAAATTCATAATCAGTTTATATAATCATGAAGCAGTTATCTTGTTCTTTAAATATGATTTAAGAAAACAGTATATTTCTTTTAACAGTTAACTAAACAATATATGTATATTTTTGAGGCAAGAGTATCACTCTATCACCCAGGCTGAAGTGCCGCGACATGATCTCGGCTCACTGGACACTCCGCCTTCTGGGTTCAAGTGATTCTCCTGCCTCAGCCTCCCGAGTAACTAAGACCACAGGTGTGTGCCACCATGCCTGGCTAATTTTCGTATGTTTAGTAAAGATGGGGTTTCACCATATTGGCCAGGCTGGTCTCAAATTCCTGGCCTCAAGCGATCCACCCACTGTAGCCTCCCAAAGTGCTGGGATTACATGCATGAGCCCCTACTCCTGGTCCTAAACTGTATTTTTAAAAACCTAATGATTTGAGGCCAGGCACAGTGGCTCATGCTTGTAATTCTAGCACTTTGGGAGCCTGAGGCAGGTGTATTGCTTGAGGCCAGGAGTTCAAGACCAGCCTGGGCAACATGGTAAAACCCCATCTCTACTAAAAAAATACAAAAATTAGCTGGGTGTGGTAGTGCTCACCTGTAGTCACAGCTACTCGGGAGACTGAGGCAGAAGAATTGCTTGAACCAGGTTCAAGCTGTTGCAGTGAGCCAAGATCATGCCACTGCACTCCAGCCCAGGAGACAAAGTGAGGCTCTTGTCTCAAAAAAGAAAAAAACCCTTATGATTTGAAACAAAAATCTTATTTGCAAAAATTAATTTTCCTCAATGCTTATATAATACTCCTTACCATAAAAACTTCATCTTGTATAAAAAATCATAGTAGAAATTTACTGGTATGAGACTGATGACTGCATGGATGTCCTTACCTTGTGCTGGTATCTTGTGTCAAATGCGTGTTTTATCAAAAGATTCTTTATGACAGAGATAGCTGTATATCTGATCTCATAATTGTCCTGAAGAGCAATGGAAGTTTCCCTCAGAAGTAGACCAACCAAGAAGTGATGCTTGCAATACTCATCTGATAAACTGTATTCGAGATTTGAATCTGCAGTACAATGAAATTTATAGCCCATTTATGAAAAGATTCAAAAAATGACTATAATTAAAATACTATATTATTAAATAATATGTGATCATGCTAGCAAGAGCTATAATTTTTACTATTAATGATTCTGAGCAATTCTTTTAACATCTAGAATAAGCATGCAAAATTATACAAGATAGCAGCACTCATATTTTGGGCTAGATGATAGCTTTAATGATCATTTCAGTCAGGAAGAAAGTCCCTAGATTTTTTTCCCCTGTTTTTCCCCCTAGATTCTAAACTTACAGAAATCTTAGGATAGAACCTATAATAAAATAATTATATATTTTGCAATATTTTAACTTATTTCTTTATAGCTGAAGAGACTTTGTCACAACTATAAATTTGAGTAATTCTATACAATAATGCTTGATTTACTTATCTATTTATACTTATAAAGTGGGAAAAGACAAACTAAACAACTGAATATGCTAACAGTATTGACTGTTTTTGTAAATAATACATATTGGGCTGAATATATACATGGGCCATAAGAACAATAAGGAAAATAGCCTCACTTCATTCTAATCCATCATTACTCAAAAACAAATCTTTTATATAAGAAAATGATCACTTCAAACTATGTCTTTCCCTTCCTTTAAGATCCTCAGTCTAGTTTATTTATTTATTTATTTGAGATGGAGTCTCATTCTGTCGCCCCAGCTGGAGCATAGTGGTGCAATTTCGGCTCACTGCAACCTCTGCCTCCTGGGTTCAAGCGATTCTCCTGCCTCAGCCTCTGTAGTAGCTGTGACTACAGGTGCACACCACCATGCCCAACTAATATGTGTGTGTGTGTGTGTGTGTGTGTGTGCGTGTGTGTGTGTGTGTGTGTTTGTGTGTGTGTGTGTCTGTTTGTATTTTTAGTAGAGACAGGGTTTCACCATGTTGGCCAGGCTGGTCTCAAACTCCTAACCTCAGGTGATCTGTCTGCCTTGGCCTCCCAAAGTGATGGGATTGCAGGCATGAGCCACCATGCCTGGCCTAGATCCTTGGTCTATTTTAAATCCCAGATGTTAATATCATGGTTGGGACTTGCCTTATAACTACTTATAGGGGACTGTGATCAAGTTTAGTAATTTTTTTTTTTTTTTCAGATGGAGTCTTGCTCTGTGACTCAGGCTGGAGTGCAGTGGCGTGATCTTGGCTCACTGTAACCTCTGCCTCACGGATTCAAGCAATTCTGCCTCAGCCTCCCGAGTAGCTGGGATTACAGGCATGTGCCACCATGCCTGACTAATTTT